GATTCCTGTTCACCCTTCAGCCTTTAATTATCTTCTCTAGGAAAACTTCCCTGGTGCCTGGTGACTGATGCCCGGAAGAGTTAAACATCCCTCCTCTGAGCTGCGATATATAGATCTCTATAGCATTTATCGCTTTGTAACACTTGTAAAAAAAAAAAAAAAGTAAAGAGAAATCTCATTCAAAATGAAGTGGGAATTGGGGGGGAGGGGATCTGTCATGCCCTATTGTCCATCATGAAGCATAAAAGGGAGAACTCTTTGTAACTGTCCTCCCAATTTCTTCTTCCCGTCTATACACGAGTTCTCTCTCTCTCTCTCTCTCGCTCTTTTTAGCAGACTTGCATGTGGCCCACCATAGTTGCCTGTTCCAGATTGCAACTCTTTGTTGTACCTGAATAAACCCATTTTGCTGGAGAAATATCTGGCTAACTTTTTGTTTAAGGTCAACTTTTTTTGTTTTTATTACTTACATTTATAATAAAAATTTTCTTCATTTTTCTCTCTAGCTAGACTATGCCATCACTGGGTTCTGTTTTATTTTTGTTTTTGTATCTTCACTACTTAGAATGGTAACAAACATGTTCAATAAGTGTTTAAACAAGCGAAGAGAAGTACTACTGGGCTGAAAATGACTTACTTTGGAAGTTATCACTGGATGTTGCTGTTTTATTATTGTTGTCAAACAGAAAAGGGCATGATTTAGCAGAATGATCAGAAAGTAGAAGGGAGGTGGGGATAGGGGAATTGAATTAAGATGGTCAAAAGGTACAAACTTCCAGTTATAAGATAAAAAGTACAAGGGATGTAATATACTACATGTAACTATAGCTAACATTGCTGTATGGTATACCAGTATTTGAAAGTTGTTATGAGAGTAGATTCTAAGAGTTTTTGATACCGTTGTAATAACTTGGTTATTATTTAACAGGAAAGAGGTGAAAGGGGAGGCCAAAAGATATAGGCATGCCATTTATATGGCTATGCCAAAAAGCTACATTCAACATGGTTCACACCTGTTCCCCACTCATTGATGGGGGAAGGGACCAGGGTTGGGCAAACTTTTTGACTCGAGGGCCACAATGGGTTCTTAAACTGGACCGGAGGGCGGAACAAAAGCATGGATGGAGTGTGTGTGTGAACTAATACATGTTAACACTGCTGCTGGTGAAGGAGCGGAGGGGAGAGCAAGAGAACCCTCTGCTCTTTCGGCTCCACGGGCCGGATAGAACAGCCGAACAGGCCGGATCCGGCCCGAGGGCCGTAGTTTGCCCACGGCTGGACTAGACAGAGGCAGTTTAGATACGTGCCCGGTAGGGTCTGAGTGATGTGGGAAATGCTTGCCTATCAATCACACCTGGAAACAGGTAACTGGCCAGGATGAGCATGGCCACCCAAGTGTGCACAAAACCTAAAATATTTAAATTTTTAAACAAAGAAGTGAGCACTTGGCTCACTCTAGCATTCTCTCTCTCTCTCTCTCTCTCTCTCTCTCTCTCTCACACACACACACACACACACACACACACACACACACACACACACGCGAGCGGTTCCCCCTCATGTACTCCTCTGGCAGCATTTTCATCCCAGGAAAAAAAGGCAGAAGATTCAGGCTTGTTTGCATATTTATGTGTAAATGTGGCTAAAAACTATAGAAAGGTATGGAAGACTTTACAGCAGGAAGAAACCATTTAAGTGACCTAGTACAAGCATCTTGTTTTACGGAAAAGAAAATTAAGACACATGGAAGTTTAGCAACTTTTCTGAGGTCACAAGATGATTAGTAATAGAACAAAGGCTAGAATTCAAGTTTTTGTTGCCCAATTCAGTGTTCTTCCCTCTTCACCAGAGTTAACTTTTTTGCTTTGTTCTTAACTTCCCAATAACCACTTCACTGCGTTGCTGTGATTACATAAAATAATGCATTGGAAAATACTTCAGAAAAGTATAAAAGAGCTAAGCACTAGTGGACAAGTTGTAGAGCCAGAGGATTTTAAAGCTCCCATACCTGTCAGTTTCCCTCTATGACTGGAAAAATATCCCCCCTCATTTTTTTTATTGCAATCAAATAGTATAAAATGCAGGCCATGAAAACATTCTGGCAGGTGGCTTGCTGGAGCTGCAGTCAAAGACCTTCTGTGAATATTTTTCAGGCACAGAGAAGACAAAGAGTGCAGTCTTTGTCCAGATAGGATAGATACATTGATATCAAACCAATATTTATGGGTAAGCACTGGTAAATCAAACCACATTGTTCATGTAATTGACAAACAACCTCAAACACAAAGGTACCCACAAAATTTCCTACCTTCAATTGGATATACTTTAGAAGGTTAAATTCTTTGGCATACATCCTGAAGTACTCCAGGACCTGGGAGTTGTGCATGAAGTTAGGAAAATGATCTGGAATAGGATAGTCACTGAAGCACATCATCTCCTTAGAAGTATTGATGATCACTGATTTATAAATACTGGCTCTTCCTTCTTCAGGATTTTCCTGCAATAAATAAGAAGCATTCATAGCCACTTGAGAATTAACTTCATGGTTTATAAACAGTCAATAAACACTTCAAAAAGCTTTTTTTTTTTAAAGTTACACACACCTCTACATCTCCAAGTATTTGTGCCTTTGTGTAGTCTCTTCCCCTTGAATCTGAGCTCTCTTTATGACTTGCTTTTGACCAACAGCATGCAGTTGGACGATACTGAATGGCTTCCAAAACTGTCATAAGTAGTCTTGCAGCCACTGCCTACGTCTCTTAGAAAGCTTGTTCTCATGGAAGTCAGCAGTCATGTAAAAAGTCCAACTACCCTGAGACTCTCATACTGTGAGGAAGCCCACGCTGGTCACATGAAGAGAATGTATGAGATAGAGAGATATAGAACCAGTTCCCAGAAGTTCTAGTTATCCCAGTTGGAGTTCTAAACACTTGAGCAAAGAGACCATAGCAGATGTCCAGTATCAGTTGTCAACTAATTGCAATGACCTGAAATTCCAAGTGAGAACTGTCCATCTGAGTAATAGTCTTAACTATTTTTTTATATATATTTTATTGATTTTTTACAGAGAGGAAGGGAGAGGGATAGAGAGTTAGAAACATCCATGAGAGAGAAACATTGATCAGCGGCCTCCTGCACACCCTCTACTGGGGATGTGCCCACAACCAAGGTACATGCCCTTGACTGCAATCGAACCTGAGACCCTTCAGTCCACAGGCTGACGCTGTATCCACTGAGCCAAGCCAGCTAGGGCTATATATACATTTTAATCTTTCTTGCATTTATTCATCCCTCCCTCCTACTCCCTTACATTGTGAAACATTTTTTTTTTAGAATGAATGTTTCATATATGCAACTCAGCCAAACCGCAGCAAGCTCTCTACCAGATGGTGTGCCCCGGCCAGCCACCCTGAACAGCTGGGG